TTCCTGCTGTTGCTTTGCACCTTGTTCCTCGCAGAGCACCTTCTTTTGGCATATTTCCAGACAACGCGGGTCAGCAAAGCTGCTGGGACAAATAACATCAGCAAGGGGAGGATGACTTACAAGGGGCTGCCTCTACGTCTAAATAGGCCTCATTCATTTGGCTTTCCACGCTCAATTTTGATCTTTTCTTTTGATTGGTTCTCTCGCTTGACTTCGCACCACCTCTCGTCTGTCAACCAAATCAACTCATGTTGCTCTAAGCAGTGGGCGACCGGGTTGTCGGACAAGAACTCCTTTCAGTGCTGGAAATTTAACAGTGTGTTTCTTCTGAAATCAGAAAAGGTTTTTGTTTGGTGAAGCTGTGCTGAAGAACCTGTAGTAAAAGTTTGACAGTAATCATTGGTTTACACTGCCTGGTTACTATTTATGTTTGGACTTTTCAGCTTTATTGCCAAGTTTAAAACATTTTTAGAAGGGTTATCAAAAAGTAACTAAAAGTAATGTTATATTACTTTGACAAAATAATCAAAATAGTTACTGTACATTACTTATGACATTTCAAACAGGGTAACTAATCATTTTTAACCAATTACATTTCAAATATAACCATCCCAACACTGTTTATATGATGCATATTCCTAGATAAAGGGAGCAGGAGGACAAAAAGGTCAAGCCAACCATACTGAAAAAGGCTGCACTCACCAGGTGTAGATGATATGCTTCTCTCTGCCTCCAGCATTGTAGGAGTACAGCACCAGGTAACAGTCACCTCCGAAGAACTGCCCATAAATGGATGGGTCCACAGGTACCGTATCACCTTTTTCCACACGCCAAATCTATAGACACCCACCAATGACGCACCTATGTGTTAATGGTGGAAGGAGTGAATACTGCATACAATATGAGCAGTGAGGCTAGCAATCAACATACCTTGACTTTCCCAGAGCCATCATCCACCATGCCGTGCTGGGCGGCCATGGTGGTGCTGGTGTGGAGTGTGGTGGCGTCAAAGGGAATCGGCTTCAACTTGGCGATGTTACCAACAGTGTAGGGCTGTCTTGGTCCTGTGGTCTCATCCTTGTCCAACCAATTGAAGAAGAACTGCTTAAACAGGGTGGTCTCACCCCCGGCTGGCATTATTTGGACCTGTATAAGTCAGAAACAGACAGAATAGCAGGTATATTCAGAAATAGGAAGACAAGATAAGAAGGATGAAAGTCTGGTAGTACACTTCCCCTACACAAACATATTACCTGAGTATTCTGGGGGTAATTCTTGTCTTTGATGAACTTGTTTGCAGAAGCCAGTGCTGCTTTGCGTTCAGCTGCATTTGCTTTCTGCCCTGTAATTTGGGGGTGTGGCACAGTGATGATGAGTGCGTCATATACGAACCACAGAGCTGACTAACAACTTGTTGCTACAAGCAGCACTATGAATACACCAAACAGAGTGTGTCCACAGAACAAGATGCTGCAAAAAGGAATATATGTCTAGGTCTGATACCTTTCCAAACAAATATCTTGTTGTCAGCCCCGTTGTCCAGGATGAAGCAGTCATCCGGGGAGAGCATGTTTTGTTTGAATGGGGTTTTATCAGCCACCAAAGTTGTCTTCATGGAGCCAGCAGCATCAGAAATCTAGGAAAAAAACGAGAGGTGATCAAAATATCTACATTTATCATCTCAGTCTTTTAAACACTGTAAGATTTATTCGCAGGAGTTCATCTATAAACTGCATTTTTATGTGTATGTACCAAATAGAGAGATGCCTGACTCTGGCTCTTCTTATCAACAGCAACATCATCAGGGGTCCCTGATGGGAGGTTGGGCTTGGGTCCAAGCACCTATAAATAAACACACAGAGACATATTGCAACACTGTCCTGACATTCACCCAATCAGATAAATTCTTTTTCCCAGCCAGAGTCACAGATATTCCCAGGGATTTCCAGAATAACTCGCACATTAATGACAGCTTCCGGCTCAGAACCTTCTTCAATCATGTGTATTTCAGCACGGCCTTTTCGCTCATTGTCCCGTATATCAGTGGCCAACTCAGTGGTTTTCAGGCGCTCATAGCGACTGCACTCACTGCCAGACCAGTGGTAGATCTCCTAGCACAGGACAGAGAAGAGCAGAGGAAAAGCACATGAAAATAATGTTATGGTGCAACACATAAATCCTGTCCTGTGTCAGTCTAACACATTGTGGGTCCCTATTCTAAATCACCTGTCCCAAGTCAATGATGAAACAGTCTCCTTTGTTGAAGCTGTCCCAGGACAGGTTCACCTCTGTGGCTTTGATCGCGCGACGACCTTTAACATGCAGCAGACGGCGGACTTTGTCTGTGTTGGTCTCCACATGGTGGAAGCCTGTGGCTACTCCACCTTGCTGTGACAGGAGTAAAGAGGCATTTTTAACTACAACTGCATGCTGTATCTATTTCAAGGATCATAAATGTAAAGGAAAGATTTGACACTGGCATATGATTCTAATAGACTCAAGATGATTAGAATTTCCACTTAAAACTGCCTGTGGTACTAAAATACAACACTGGCTAATCTGTTTTCCAGTGGCCTGCTTCAGCTTAGGACATCTGCAACTCATTGATGTTTTGGCATGTTTGTGTTCATTTTGTTTGCCAGTTCAAACTCTCCATGGAAACCTTCAGTGGAAAATCTGAGGGAACAACCAACCACAATTTCAACAGTTCCCCAAATAGCACAGTGAAGAGTTCCACTTTCCATATAAACATACAAAACTTTAAAAAACCTTTTAGTTTAAGTGATTTCATCAGTTTCATTTGGTAGGTTTTGCTTTGTTTTGTCTGATACACAGAAACGAATTCATTACTTTTGTTTCCTTAAGGAAGACATGTGAAAACATGCTTTAAATTATTCAAACCACCATAAGAACATGTATGCATGAATCATGTTTCACCTTGTATTTGATGCCTGACTTAAAGTAGCCCAGAAAGGTGACTGACTCTTGGTTTTGAAACTCAGTGAATTGTCTTGGGGCTCCACGCAGGAAATCATCCAGCTGTGTCATAAAGATGGCAGCTGCACCCCTCTCATCTTGGGATGCTTCCTCGCCTGTTGTGTATAACAGTGTAATAAAAGAGTATAGACAGACAAATCAGTAAACAGCTATTCTTAAATGTCAGAGTTAGTGTTCAGGTGTCACCAAACAATCTGAATCCAATACCCATCCATGAGTGAACATTGTAAGAAGGGGCAGAGGTGGTGTAGAGCACTATGTAAGCATCGCCCATGAAGAAGTTTCCATGGAGTTGCGTAGGGACAGGCTTCAAATCCATCTGCTCCACCCGCCACACCTGCAGGCCGGGCTTCTTCCCTGCAGTATCAAACTCTTTGTGGTGTGCCATGGCGCTTAGTATTTGCAGTGTAACCTGAAATACAAGTATTGTAACATGTGAAGTGTGTTGATATATAGTGGTGGAAAAAATTGCCTGAGTGTCCACTCCACTTATTATCAAGTAATGAGTAATGGTTTTGTATTCTATGGCAGGAAGAGCCACTCCCCACGGACAAAGACAGTGTGTCTGGTAAAAGTAAGTAGCCTAATTATTGCCCTGCCTTGCTAGATTCCCATCCAACAGTGTAAAAAGTAAACTAATAATACATATATGCATGTCGTGACCCAGAGGAAACAGCTGTTTTCCATGGTTGTCATGCTGATTAACTGATAAGCATTCAGGCTTTACTTCTCCAGCCCCAGAGGAAAGTGCACGAGTGTAATCTTGCATTATTTCATTCTCCCAAATACGACATATAGCCTGCATTCAAAATTTGTTTGTACAAACCTACTGTCGAAATTGATCTACGTAGAGCATCAGCTGTTTGTTTTCAATTAAATCAAGGAAGTTCAGTGACTTGCTATTTTGAATAATTACGCAAAAATAGGCAATTTCATAAATGCAAGCTGAATAGCTACAGGGAGCTTTTGTATTGCATGAACGGGTTTGCAGAAGTACATAGTAATCAGACTATTAACAGATTTCCATTACCTGGTGAGGATAGGAGACAGAGAACTGGTACGTACAGGCTGACAAGTCTAGATCTTCCTCCCAGGGTGTGTGCGCTCCACTCCGCTATATACTGCAGAGACATCCGCGTTCTGGCAGAAAGGCGTGTCCGCCGCATTCCGCCCCAGCCAGTATTATCGGGCAGCGATAAATAAGGGAGGAATAACACGCTATGAAACAAAACCGAGTTTACAAATTAAACCTCAGAGTTGATATGTAACTTCACTGAAAAGGGAAACCCATCTGGACCAGTGGCAGAGAAGCAACACCAAACATTAAGTATCTCAGTGTAGCCTAATATCTCCACTAACATCTAGTGGTGGGTTATAACTCATCGTGTTCTCTACTATTCTGGGCCTCTATATTTCCTTTATCTGCGACTTTGTAATTCATTTTCTACAGGACGCGGAAGCTGGGCCAACAGTTAGGGGGAAGCTGAAAGGAAACTGAGGTTACAAACCAGAGCGACATTTTCCACATCTGTTGCACCTCGTAATGTTGTGAAATGGTATTAGACACTCTAGAGAAACCCTCAATGCCGAGTGTCACTTTCAAACGTGAAAACCTTATTTTTTCTCACTCTAATAGTGGCATTTTTAGACTATATCAGACCAGGTCTAGATCCAAAAACCACTGGTCTATAGTTAGAACAGTCAAAGCAAGATGGAGAGTATAGAGACCCTTTCAAATCCTTAGTGATTCAGATTCAAAACTAATAAAATCACAGGGTTTTTTTTAAGTGTTGCCTAACAGTTAGCCCACTTTTAGTATAAATACTTTGAGTATCTCATAATGATAATACATTTCACTTAAGCAAAACTGCAATTTTTTTTTTTTTGCAATGGAGTATTTTTACTTTTATAGAAGTGAATAATCCATTCAAAGCAATTTATCGTTCATGATTTATTATCATTCATGAACAGTCTGCACATATAGTCATTATTAAATGAATAATAAATGCAATATAATTTTGATATCACCTTAGAGAGGCATTTGTTGTTTTTGCAAAGGCAAAATAAATGAAAATATTAGCAGCATTGCTTTCCCTCAACGTTTACATGTGCTATGACTCATAGACATGATTGTGATCTTTATGCTGATGCAGATTCAATGCTATTACGTGGTGTGTGTCCATTGTGAAAGAATTTTTATTAACACATTCATATGTCAGGCTACGGTGGGACTTTGAATCATCTGTTTTCCTGCCGTGGATGTAGCAATGACAAGAGCAGCCAAACATATCTTGTGCAACCAGACAAGTCCCTGGTTGCACAGGTTGACCGTGTTGCTTTAGCATATGTTTGTCTATGCCTAGTACTTGCCTGTCAGCTGCTGCAGTTTGCGACCAACTTGACTCCCATGTGACAGTTTGACAGAAATCAGAGGCACAAATCTCTAGCAGTCGCCTCAGGTTAAGGCTGGGTCCATCGGTCCCGCTGTCAACGCTGTGTCAGCACATTCTAGCTCATTGTGTAGTGTACACCCACAGCTCATACAGCCCCTGCCTGGGACATACCTCTGTACCCCCACAAGACTAAACATGCACAAGTGCACACACACAAAGTCTGATGACTACAGTCTAATTGTTTTGACTTGAGTGGGACAAAACAGTTTTATTGTATAACTGGGAAGTATGTTGGCTGTTAAAAAGGTGCAGAAGTTCACATGATAGCGATTTGCTGGAACACTGTTGTGGAGCACATGGCACAGCTTTGATAATGGCTTCTTCTTGGCTGAACATGGGGTGGGCCTGCACGAATCACTGGGTGAAAATTGCCTGCAGATGTGTTTCAGTTATTCCTCTGCCAGCACTTGCTCGTGAATAAGATATTTTGAAGCTGTCAAAGGAAATTCAGTGTTGACGCCAATTTATCAGTCAGTTTAATCAAGAGGTAAATAGGCTTGAATCTTTGGCAAATATCCTTATTTGCTTTAGAGTTATGAAAGGAGAAAAAGCTACAGGCAGCAGTCAGCTGGCTCATCTGAATGCATGCTAGAAAAAGGGGAAATAGCCTGGCTCTGTCGAAAAGTAAAAACAGCTGCTTATCAGCTGCTCCAAAACTGTTAGGGTTGCTCGGACACGGGTATGAGTGAGCAAAGAAAAGACAGACCCAGGTGGCTGGCTTCGGTGCAAGTAGTGAAGGATTTATTTACAGTGCAAAGTTCAGTGGATTAAACAGACAGTTGCAGTATGATAATGAGTCACCGTGTGTTGATCTATGGCAGTGGGAAACAGTCGATGGTGAGATGGATGGTTGTAGGTCACTCCTGAACTGGTCGTGGTTGAGGTGAGGATGGTTGAGGAGACAGGAGCATGTAATGACAGTTAATGGAGACTGTGCATCGACCTGTATGGTGGAGACTGGTAGGGCTGAGTAGAACCAGGGTCCAGAGGAGAGGTCCGTAGTCACAGAAAGAACAGCAGGAGAAAGTACTGAGAGTAATTATGGAGACGAGGAGACCGAGGGTAAAAAAAAACAAGGAGCAAAGAGACCAAAAGACTAGACTAAGCGAAGGTAACACTTTTAGGACTAGAAAGAAAAACACGAGCAAAAGGAGCCTGAGAAACATGGATTGAACTGGCAGAGGAGTCAACTGTGAGCAGGGTATATATAGGGAGGTGACTAATAAGATGCAACTGGTGATAATCGGGGCAGTGGGGCAGGTATGCTGATAGTGTAATCAGGGTGAGGAAGCAAAACTAAAGTGAGAAAACCTGACAAAAGCTCAATAATTAACATGTCCGTCCTCTAAATATGGAGATAAAATTAGCAGCAGGAAGGGGGAAACAGCAAACCTTGGCAGGTCTGAGAGTTTGAACTGAACTCAAGTGTTACTGACTGAGGTTCAGACGTTCTGTAGGCAGATCTGTGGAGGGGATG